CACCTCTACTATAAAGTCCATTGCGATCTCCTCTCATGGCCTTGTTGGCTCTGCTACTGGCTGCAGTAATCTGGGGGGGGGGATGTTTCCTGGTTGTCTCTTAATTGTGGCGCAGATGGCGCAACTTTTCACGTAACTGTCCACAACTTTATTTATTTTGGGCCATCAGAACTGCCTCCGGGCTAAGTGTAACGTCTTTAGGAATCCAAAGTGGCCTGCTGGTTTGGCGTCATGACTCCTCTGGAGAAGTGGGGTGCGTAGGGATTCCGGGATGTAGAGTTTCATCCTCTTCCATGCAAGGTCATTTCTTTTTGTCAAGATGTGTTTAGCAGTTCAGTTTTGAGTCTCATGGTTAGGTCGCCTGCTGGTTGGTCATGCTGGTCACAGTGTTGTCGTCTGATGGTCACTTGGGCAGCTATTTGGGTAGAGGGAATGATGGCATCCACCACCTGCTCCCGTTCGCATTTGTACTGGGGCATGCGGGAGAGGGATAAAGCAGAGGCTAAAATACCAAAGCCCAAGAAGATTCTTGCTTTTATAATTGGATTTGGAGAAACAAAAAATATTAAAAGGAACGGACCCAGGGAAAAGTTTTTTTAAATGTGGATTTAAAGTATTTTTGACAGTTTTGACAATTAGCTGGTTTGAGTATATTGCGAATTTGAGAGAACCATCAGCTGGTGGGAAGAGAGTACTACAATACTTTGTGAAAGAAAAAAGAGAAAGTGCAGCTGTGAATCTTGACCTTGACTATTGGAAAAGATAATTTGGAACTGTGAGAACTAAGGAGTGTTTGTTTTTCTGCATTGCTTGGTTTTGATTTTCTATTATCTGGAAGATAATAGATTTTCCACTTGGATTGGCTTGGACTAATATTAGAGTTGGACATTAAAATCTGGAAATAAAAAAGTACTGTATGAACTTTAAGTTCTAATTAAAAGTGATATAACCCAAAAATCTTTTAAAAAATTTAAATGTTTTTTTATGTTTTTTTTTTGTTTTATTAAACATTTATAGGCCGCCCTTTTCCCTAAGGGGACTCAGGGCGNCAAGCTTATCAAACTCAGCGGCAAACCTTTGCCCCAAGGCAAAAAGCACCCTGCGGGGCTTCAGCCTGATTGGGGCCACCTGGGGATCCAAGTTAAGGGAAATGGGGCTGCCCTTATAATGACCTAGCTGGCCATCAAATATGTCAGCGTAGTCCGTTAGGACTGCTGCCACATCAGGAGGGGGCGTGTCCGCTGTAGAATGGATTCCATGAAGGGATAGACCTAAGGGAGCGAACCAATCTAATCCTAAAATGGAAGGTAAGGGTTTTAGCACTATTAGGGCTGGTAATACAGCAGCGTAAGTGCCATAGGTAACCCGCAAAGCGTAAGAACCCAGAATGGGGATATGAGAGCCTTGGTAATCTTTCAGAATGGCATCGGGGGGTGACAGATGAGAACGTTTGACATTGGGGCATAATTTGGAAAAATTGTCCCAAGATAGGAGAGACTTGGAGGAGCCGGAATCGACCTCCATCTTGCAAGGTCTTCCTTCAATCTCTAAGGTGATGTTGATTTTTTCCGTACCCTCTGAGGCCAGGTTGACCGTGATCTCAGGAAGGGGAGAGGTGGCTTCTAATGTTGTAGCATTCATCTTGGCGCTGTGGTGACTTGCGGGGTTGAGAATTCTTTGGCGGTGGAGGTGGTCCGTAAGGAGGAGGTGGTCCATAAGGAGCGGCAGGAACAGGCAGGGAGGCTCGGCAGACCTGGGCGTGATGACCCTTATTTCCACAGCGGCGGCAAACCGCTGCCTTGAAGGGGCAGGTAGACCGGGGATGCACGCCGCCGCAGCCCAGGCAAATGGAGGAATTTGTAGGAGGACAGCTGATAGCTTGAACTTGTTGAGGCTGTTGCCGACGAGGAATTGCACCCAGCCTGTCCACTTGATGTTGGCTTAGATGGTCTGGCAGTGGAGCTAATTCATCAATTAGGTTGGTTATGTATGAGGGCTGTTGAAGAGGAGGTGGCTGGAGAGCTGGTAAGGCATGAGCGCTGTGAGTGGCGGGTAAACTGCCACTAACGGTCATCTGGGAAAGGTAGCGTTCGATCTCCGAAGATGAGGAATCAGCCAGCTCAGCGGCTTGAGCTTCATCGATCGCGTACACAAGGGTGACTTTAGGTTTCCCTAGTAATCTGCGCCTTAAGAAAATGTCTTTAAGCCCACATACAAATTGCTCTGCCAGGTTCGCTTCCAGGTCGGGAAATTCACATTGTGCCGCGGCGACTCGCAGAGCCTGCAGGAACTGATTGACCATTTCTGCGGGTTTCTGCACCCGCCTGCGGTACGCAAAGCGCCTAGCGATTTGCGAAGGGGTCGGAGCATAATAAGCTTGCAGGCCATCTGTTAATTCCTGCCATGAGAGATCGTAGACGGCTCTCGGGGCAGCGAATGATCTTGCAGTAGCGAACATTTCTGGCCCACAAGCTGTTAAAAAGAAGCTGCACTTCCTCACTTGCGAGTATCCTTGGCGATTGTTAGCAATTAAGAAGCACTCGAATCTT